CTAATTACTGGTAGCGCGTGTGATGTGTTTTAATTAGCCTAATGACTTTAATTATATTGTCATTGTTCAACTCTGGTAAAATAAAAGGTCTTTGGCAACACACACCCTTTTGTTGGGGAGGATATTAATGGTCCTTTCAAGTCGCCAACAATACGGTTCCCGCCTCCCGTTTTCTTTAAGGCTGGTTATCGTTTCCCATTTTCTTTGAGCAAACTCTTGAATAAACTTAATGTGGTTCTCGCCTCCCGTTTTATTTTAAATTAATATTGTTGGCCAGTTTCCCGATATAAAAACAAACAAACAAGCAAAACACTGATTACCGCTTCCCGTTTTCTTTAATTTTTTTTAGACGACTCTCCATTACCTAGAAAATATTTTAGTTTCCCCTCCCATTATTTCCTTCAAACAGACAATCTCTAATTCAAGTGATATCGTTAAATATTATTACCATTCCTTGACACGAGAGCAGAAACAGCGTATAGAGTTAATCTTGTCCACCTGTCTTGTCTGTTTGTGTGTGTGTCTGTCTGTCTCTGTCTGTCTGTGTTCTGACTTGTTACAACTACATCATCACGTCAAAAGTAGGTCGCGGTGATATTCCCTCCCCCCTCCCTCCCCCCTCCCTCTTTCTCCCCCTCCCTTCTCCCCCCTCTCTCTTTCTCCCCCCTCCTCCTGGGTGACGACGACTACTGCTGCTGGAGTATTGAACATCGTCTTTTGTCCATCCGGCTCAAGTCGATGCTCCTTCTCACTTCCCTAGCCTCTGAGGACCCCAGATTCTCCTCCTTCTGCGTGTATTGTGTGGGTGATGGGGAGAGAGGTGAGGGTGATAGGGGAGGTGAGGGTGATGGGGGAGGTGAGGGTGATGGGGAGAGTGGTGAGGGTGATAAGAGAGGTGAGGGTGATGGGGGAGGTGTGGGTGATAGGGGAGGTGAGGGTGATGGGGGAGGTGTGGGTGATAGGGGAGGTGAGGGCGATGGAGGTAGGGGAGGGGGTATAATATGTAGTCTGGGGTGTGTGGGTGAGGGGAGAAGAGGTCTAGTACAGTGTGTGTGTGTGTGTGTGTGTGTGTGTAAGGTGTGAGGGTGTACTACTGGGGTGAACGAACCGTGAAGTGAGATCCTCCGCTGTGCTAGTGACATAACTCTACCTCACTCACTCCCTCCCTTCCTTACTCTCCTCCCTCCCTTCCTTACTCTCCTCTCTCCCTTCTCTACTCTCCTCCCTCCCTTCTCTACTCTCCTCCCTCCCTTCCTTACTCTCCTCTCTCCCTTCCTTACTCTGCTCCCTGTCTTCCTATTCTCACATCTCCTTCCCTATCCCCCCCTCCTCCCTCCCTCCATCCTATACTCTTTTCCTCAATACAACCCTGGAGAGAGAGAGAGAGAGAGAGAGAGAGAGAGAGAGAGAGAGAGAGAGAGAGAGACCCTACCACCTCCCTTCTTTACAAAGTTTTGAGAGGAAAACTTCCATAGATTAGCTCTTGTAATTCCCAGAATACATTCATATATAAGTATCCAACCCACTGATGACGTTGATGAGGAATTGTGGGTCGATGACGTCACTCAGGGCTTTTTTAAATCAACAGTGGTGGTAGAGGTGTGTGTGTGTGTGTGTGTGTGTGTGTGTGTGTGTGTTGGGAACGCGATAACTCAAAGAAATAGAATTGGATTTGGAAGAAACTTGGTGTGTGGATGTTGGCTAAAAAGACGAGAGAGGACTGTGATAATCTGTAATTTTCTTTTGCTTATTTTCGGGGAGTTATGGCCCTCTGTCGTAGGCCATTGGAGGGGGGTGAGGGACTGGACTCTGATGGCCAACTGGGGGGAGGGATGGACTCTAATGGCCAACTGGGTGGCTGGACTCTGATGGCTGCTGGGTGGGGGCTGGGCTCTGATGGCCAACTGGGGGGGAGGTGGCTGGACTCCTGATGGCCAGCTGGGTGAGGCTGGACTCCTAACTGGGGGGGTGGCTGGACTCTGATGGCCAACTGGGTGGGGGCTGGACTCACGATGGCCAACTGGGGGAGGTGGCTGGACTCTGATGGCCAACTGGGTGGGGCTGGGCTCTGTGGCCAGCTGGGGGGTGGCTGGACTCCTGATGGCCCAGCAGGTGGGGGCTGGACTCTGATGGCCAACTGGGGAGGTGGCTGGACTCTGATGGCCAACTGGGTGGGGCTAGACTCTAATGGCCAACTGGGGGGCGTTGGCTGGACTCTGATGGCCCAGCTGGGGGAGTGGTGGCTGGACTCTGATGGCCCAGCAGGGGGGGTGGCTGGACTCTGATGGCCAGCTGGGAGGGAGGAGGGTGCTAGACTCTGATGGCCAACTGGGTGGGGGCTGGGCTCTAATGGCCAACTGGTGGGGGGTGGGGTGGCTGGACTCGGATGGCCAACTGGTGGGGGGTGGGGTGGCTGGACTCGGATGGCCAACTGGGGGGGGGGGCAATTTGTAGCCAGGATTGTGTACACTGTTGCTGCGATAAGAGAATTAAATCATTATCTCTAACTTGTGTCTGTGTAAAATACTCCCCTGTGTGGCTTTATGATCTGACTGATAAATGTTCTTCGGGTGTGAGGGATGTTTTTATATTCCTAGTGCGATTAAAGGCAGCCAGAAGCCTGTATTTTGGTCTTAACAGCACTGAAGGAAGTACTGTGGTGGTGGTGGTGGTGGTGGTGGTGGTCGTAACATCACTGGAGGTATTGTGGTGGTGGTGGTGGTGGTCTTAATATCACTGGAGGTAGTACTGTGGTGGTGGTGGTGGTCTTAACATCACTGGAGGTAGTACTGTGGTGGTGGTGGTGGTGGTCTTAATATCACTGGAGGTAGTACTGTGGTGGTGGTGGTGGTCTTAACATCACTGGAGTAGGTACAGTGATGGCCTTATAACATGTAAACAAGACCTAAACTCGACCTGTTTGTCTGACCTGATGGTAAAACCCCTAACCACATTCACAAACTTTCGGTGGCTAAAAATTTGTTTGTGTCGTGTTTCCATTGTAACCTGTAAATGAATGGTAAACGTGTGTCTAGTTAGCCCGTTGGATTATCTCACACTAAGGAGGGGGGAGGGGGTGGTGGCGGTGGTAAATTTGACGATGTTTTTAATGAGATTTGTGGTGTCGTAGGTAAATTGTGTCAGTTGTTTAATTTCGGGCGTGAACTGGTAGAAAATTTAATAATGTATCGTAGGAACCTTTGAGAATGTACCTCTCTCTCTCTCTCTCTCTCTCTCCGCCTTCCCCTCTCCTCCTTCCTGACTCCTCCCCGCCCCACCCCTTCTCACTCTTCCTGTCCTTCTTCCTATTTCTCTCCTCCCCTCTTCTCTTCTTTGCGTCTTCCCTTCCTCCCTCTCCAATCCTTTTCTTCTCTCCTCTTTACCCCCCCTTCCTCCTCTCCTCTCCAAAGCCTCTTATCCACTCTCATCCCACCTCTCCTCCTTCCTTCCCTACACCTTCTCTCCTCTCATCTCCTCTTTTCTCCTCTCACAGCCCTCTCATTCCCTCTCATCCCATCCCTCCCCTCTCCTCCCAGCCCCTCTCCTTACCATCCCTTTCCTCCCCTCTCCACCCCGTCCCTCTCCTCACCGCCCCTGTACTCCCCTCCCTTCTCTTACCCTCCTCCCCACCCCTCTCCACCCCACCGCCCCTCCCACCTTCTCTCCCGCCCCTCACCACCCCTCCACTCTCCACCCCGCCCCTCTCCTCCCCGCCCCTCTCCTCCCCGCCCACATCCCTGGAGGCCGTCAATACGGGCGTCCCTGTGAATTTGAATGGGGGAATTCAATTGAGTCCGGGTTGCCTTACACAACACGTCCGCGGTTTCTTTATTTGGACATGTTGTGACTCAGTCGGCGGCTCTCTGCTGCTCATTACTCTTTCTTTGTCTGACTGTCTCTCTCTGTCTGCGTGTACGTGTCTGTCTGCGTATACGTGTCTGTCTGAGTATGTATACGTGTCTGTCTTGAGTGTGTGTATGTGTGTCTGTATGTCTGAGTGTGTGTATATGTGTCTGTATGTCTGAGTGTGTGTATATGTGTAATAATAATAATTAACGGTTTATTGAAAAAGTTCTGCAGCCAGAAGGCTGAAAATATACATTGGGCATAAATGACTTATTACATACATTGGTGGTTTTAACAAAAGCCTTCATTAGAGAAAGGTAAAGGAACATACAGTGAACATACAGATTAATGTAGGTGTTGAACAGCAAAAACGTAGTGTAGTACATGTAACTCCCTCCCAGATGGTGTTAGGAGGGACCTCACGTGGTGTAGTAGTTCCCTCACAGATGGTGTTATGAGGGGCCTCACGTGGTGTAGTAATTCCCTCACAGATGGTGTTATGAGGGGCCTCACGTGGTGTAGTAATTCCCTCACAGATGGTGTTATGAGGGCCTCACGTGGTGTAATTTACACAGATGGTGTTATGAGGGGCCTCTCGTGGTGTAGTAATTCCCTCACAGATGGTGTTATGAGGGGCCTCACGTGGTGTAATTCCCTCACAGATGGTGTTATGAGAACTCCTCGTGGTGTAGTAATTCCCTCACAGATGGTGTTATGAGGGGCCTCACATGGTGTAGTAATTCCCTCACAGATGGTGTTATGAGGGGCCTCACGTGGTGTAGTAACTCCTTCACATATGGTGTTATGAGGGGCCTCACATGGTGTAGTAATTCCCTCACAGATGGTGTTATGAGGGACATGTGGTTTAGTAATTCCCTCACAGATGGTGTTATATGAGTGAGGTGTGGTTCCAGGCCTTCCTATCGTAGACGGATTAACACATCGCTGGTAGTTGGGTCTCACAGGCCGTTATCACTGGGTACCTGGGACCTCACTGTGTGAAAGGTCAACTTGGGTACCACTGTTACTGTTGAGTTGTTCTCACTGACTTAAGCACTGTTCACCACTGTTCACTTCTGTTTAACACTGGTTCCATTTCTTTCCTAAATGAAATAGTAACTTCTGGCGTGAACTTGTTGATATTCCGGTGGGGAGGAGGGTTCAGGGGAGGGAGTTGGTATGGGCCAACATAACAGTTGACCTGGCTGCTCCGAGAGGAGCGCCAGGTGCGTCTTGACCCTTCGGTGGTCAAGGATGTAGTGTGTGTCTGTTTGTCTGAGTGTGTGTATATGTGTCTGTATACGTGTCTGTCTAGAGTGTGTCTGTTTACGTGTCTGTCTTGAGTGTGCCTGTGTCTGTGTGTATGTCTCCTGTGTGTGTGTATGTCTGTCTGTCTGAGTCTGTGTATGTCTCCTGTGTGTGTATGTCTGTCTTTCTGAGTCTGTGTATGTCTCCTGTGTGTGTGTGTGTATGTCTGAGTCTGTGTGTATGGTTTCTGTGTGTGTATGTCTGTCTGAGTCTTTGTGTATGTCTCCTGTGTGTGTGTATGTCTGTCTGAGTCTGTGTATGTCTCCTGTGTGTGTGTGTATGTCTGTCTGAGTCTGTGTATGTCTCCTGTGTGTGTGTGTGTGTGTATGTCTGAGTCTTTGTGTATGGCTTCTGTGTGTGTATGTCTGTCTGTCTTGGTCTGTGTGTATGTCTCCTGTGTGTGTGTCTCCTGTGTGTGTGTGTATGTCTGTGTGTATGTCTCCTGTGTGTCGTTCGGTACCTCTCTCTCTACACCTGAATACACCTCCTTTGTGTCTCTCAAGTGCCTGTCTGTCTAAGTCTTTGTCCCACCGGAGTGTCAACGTCCTCGTGTGTGTGTGTGTGTGTGTGTGTGTGTGTGTGTGTGTGTGTGTGTGTGTGTGTGTGTGTGTGTGTGTGTGTGTCAGGGGTATCATTAATTCTCTCACACTTTATCTATGTTTGTCTATCTGTGTGCATGTTTGTTTCTCTCACTACTCACTCGCTCACTCGCTCACACACACGCACACGCACACACTCATACGGTCATAAAGTGTCTTGGTGTCACTATTATTGGAAGCGTTAAGTCAATCACCAACACCCGCCTCTCCTGACCTTGCTGATACTGTTGTTGTTGGTCCAGCTCGTTCAGGCGGTGATAGTTAGGATAATTGGAATATTCCTGTTGTATATATTCGTAGAACTTGGAATATTCCTGTTGTATATTCGTAATACCTTGGAATATTCCTGTTGTATATTCGTATTACCTTGGAATATTCCTGGCGTTTATTGCATGTTCTTGGAATATTTCTGTTATATATCTGTTATATACTCCCACTATATACCCGTATATTCGTCGCTATTATTACCATCGTATATTCGTAGGCGTTATTGCGTTACTACATCACACATACCCCACCAGTTATTACATCATATATATCCATCTGGTATATTCACAGCCGGTGGTATATATACTGTATGGTAAGGGGGAGGGGGAGGGGTAAGGGGGAGGGGGTAGTGATATAATGGAGGGAATCAGTCTAGGCTTTAACCCGTCTTAGAGTGGCTTATACTCTCTCTCTCTCTCTCTCTCTCTCTCTCTCTCTCTCTCTCTCTCTCTCTCTCTACTCATGAAAGTGGTGGCGTCTGGTATGTAGTGGAGGAACCCAGGTATGTAGTGGAAGAACCCTGGTATGTAGTGGAGGAACCCTGGTATGTAGTGGAGGAACCCTGGTATGTAGTGGAGGAACCCTGGTATGTAGTGGAGGAACCCAGGTATGTAGTGGAGGAACCCAGGTATGTAGTGGAGGAACCCTGGTATGTAGTGGAGGAACCCAGGTATGTAGTGGAGGAACCCTGGTATGTAGTGGAGGAACCCTGGTATGTAGTGGAGGGGAACCCTAGGGTGTGTAGTGGAGGAACCCAGGTATGTAGTGGAGGAACCCAGGTATGTAGTGGAGGAACCCTGGTATGTAGTGGAGGAACCCTGGTATGTAGTGGAGGAACCCAGGTATGTAGTGGAGGAACCCAGGTATGTAGTGGAAGAACCCAGGTATGTAGTGGAGGAACCCTGGTATGTAGTGGAGGAACCCAGGTATGTAGTGGAGGAACCCTGGTATGTAGTGGAGGAACCCTGGTATGTAGTGGAGGAACCCTAGTATGTAGTGGAGGAACCCTGGTATGTAGTGGAGGAACCCAGGTAGTGAGGTGTGCTGTAATTGGCTGATGGTAAGTTACAGAGAACCAATTACCTTTGTCCCCGGAGCTGCCTATGAGGTAACACAGCAATAATTAATTAGCCTTAGCTGTGTATTAGTGCAGTGTTGTGTTGTGTTCGGTTGTGTTGTGTTGTGTTGTGTGTTCTTCTATGTTCATATGTATTCTGGTGTGTTCATGTGTTTAACTCTTGTTCATTAAGTAAAACTATGCTATCCAGGGGTGTGTGTGTGTGTGTGTGTGTGTGTGGTCCTAGTCTCGTTCAGAAATAAGTTCAAATATTGTTCATCTGTGTTCTTTATTTAGTTCACGAATAACACACTTTGTCTAGTCATTGGTGTATCGTAATTAAAGCCTCAGTGATTGTGTTATGATTTCTACTCACCTGAACTCACCTGTTGGGGGTTAATTAGCGTGTAGTCCTTGGCAGGTAATGTAGTCGATGCAAGGTGGGGTATAATTTGGGTGATATCAACGTCAGGGTTTATGTAAATGAGTGAGGGTGAGAGGGAGTGAGTGGGAGAGTGAGTGAGTGGGTGGTTGAGTGTGTGTGTGTGTGTGTGTGACAGGTGTTGGGAGGAAGGTTCATCCTCTCTCTCTCTCTCTCATATCCACCCTACTTCCCACTCCCACCCTCCTACTTACCCCTCTCTCTCTCTCTCACTCACCCCCTCTCTCACCCATCCTACCTCCACCCCCTCTCACCCACCTTACCTCCACCCCCTCTCACCCACCTTACCTCCACCCCCTCTCACCCACCTTACCTCTCACTTCCCTACCTCTCACTTCCCTACCTCTCATCATCCACCCTACCTCTCACCCGCCCATCCACTCTACCTTCAAGAAAGACACATAAGAAGTTCTCAAATTTCCTGCCATTGGGAGAACTAACGAATAGAGAGTTGGCCAAATTGGTAAGGTGAGCTTCAGGTGTATACGTCTCTCTCTCTCACCACGTCTATCAGGAGTGAGAAGGAACACACACACCCCCCCCCCCCCCCCAATTCCCGGCCCGATAGTTCCTGGGGCTGTTGTCGGGGTCGGGTTGTTCAGCTCCCCCGGGTCCCTCTTGATGCTCACCTGGATCGCATTATACTTTCTCACCAGTGCTAGATTTTTGAGGTTCCTTCGGGAGATTTTTTTTTAGGTTCCTTCGGGAGATTGTTTAGAGGTTCCTTCGGGAGCTTTTTTTAGAGGTTCATTCGGGATTTTTTTTTTTTTAGTTCCTTCGGGAGTTTTTTTTAGAGGTTCCTTCGGGGATTTTTTTTTAGTTTCCTTCGGGAGATTGTTTAGAGGTTCCTTCCCGGAGATTTTTTTTGGAGTGGTTCCTTCGGAGTTAGTAAAGATTCTCCTCTCGGGAAGTTGTGTCATTCCTTTTGTTTTTGTTTTTATGAATCCTTCGGGTGTTTTATGAATCCTTCGGGTGTTTTATGAATCCTTCGGGTGTTTTATGAATCCTTCGGGTGTTTTATGAATCCTTCGGTTGTTTTAAGAATCCTTTAGTTAAGAATCCTTCGGGAGGTTTAAAAAATTTCGGGAATCCAAAATGACTTAATCAGACTCCGGTGAGATTATCCAGAACCTGTGATTATCCTGACTCTGGATTATTCAGACTTAGAATTATCCAGACTACTTAAGGATTATCCAGACTAATAATTATCCAGAGTCCTTAAGGATTATCCAGACTAATAATTATCCAGACTTATAAATATCCAGACTTGGGATTATCCAGAGTCGACAGAGCTCTCAACTACCTGCAAGTCATCCCTAGTGTAGCGGCGTTCTCCTCAGTGGCCGGGTGTGTTGGGAGTCCTCTGACCTGCCAGGCTTTTCCAGGACAAATTTAATCTATTCCCCAGGGCCCGCGGGAGTCCTAGGGCAGAGTGTCCTGAGTCCTGTGATTCTTCCAGATTTTCTTTTGGAGTTTTGGAGTTTTTCGTTTTCGCTTGGTGTCTTCTGGGGAGTTTTTGTTTGTTGAGTTTTGGAGTTTTTTGTTTTCGCTTGGTGTCTTTTGGGGAGTTTTTTGTTTGTTGATATTTTTGGAGTTTCTTGTTTTCTAATTGGCGTCTTTCTTGGAATTTTTTGTTTGTTTGTGTTTGTTAATTTTTGGAGTTTTGTTGTTTTCACTTGGTGTCTTTTTTGGGGAGTTGTTTGTTTGTTTGTATTTGTTTGTTAGTTGATTTTTTTATTTTTTTTATTATTATTGGACTTTCTGGTTTTCCCTATTTCTTATTGGACTCTTCAGATTTTTCTTTGGACTCTTACACTCCTCAGATTACTCTTGGACTCCTTAAATTCCTCTTGGGACTCTTGCACTCCTCGACCTTCTTGAATTCCCCCCCCCCCTTCGACTCATTTTGAAGTGTCTAGACTCCTCCAAGACTCTCTGACACCTCCCAAACTTCCCGGATGCTTGAGGTGAGACTTTTCAAACTCCTCGAGGATTTCAAGATGTTCTCGAGTGTTGCTTTATAATTCAATTGATTGTGTGTGTGTGTGTGTGTGTGTATGTATGTGTATGTGTGGATATGTGTGTGTGTGTGTGTGTGTGTATATATGTATGTGTGGATATGTGTGTGTGTGTGTGTGTGTGTGTATGTATGTGTATGTGTGGATATGTGTGTGTGTGTGTGTGGATGTGTGTGTGTGTGTGTGTGGATGTGTGTGTGTGTGTGTGTGTGTGTGTGTGTGTGTGTGTGTGTGTGTGTGTGTGTGTGTGTGTGTGTGTGTATGAAGGACAGTTAAGCCTTCTAACGCCAGAACGTCAAAATACCTTCTGTCAGTCACCCTTGTCATGAGGTTGAAACCATTAAGACGGACCAATTAGGACTGGAACCATTAAGACTGGGGTTCATTTTGGAATAGGTACTATTAATAGAGACTAACAGCTCTCTCTCTCTCTCTCTCTCTCTCTCTCTCTCTCTCTCTCTCTATCTCTCTCTCTCTCTTATTCTATATCTACCTATTTATTTTACTCTAGATTTTTATCGGCCTATCAATATCCATCCATCCATCCATCCATCCACCCATCCATCCATCCATCCATCCATCCATCCATCCATGTACTAAGGTCAAGGAATGGCATCCAGCATCCTCCCAGGCCGACTCGAGATATGATCTGGGACTCCGTATAGAATGTGGGACTCGAGGCTCCAGATTCTCTCTCTCTTATAATAATGGCGTCTTGGGCTTAAGGCTCCTGTACTGTATTCCCTAGTTTAAATTGGTACCGCCCCCCCCCCCTTACCACCACCTTACAATCCCCTTACGCCTCTTATTCCAATTTTCTTCTCCCTTGCCCTCTCCCCTCACTCACCCTTTCTCCCCTCTCCAACCTACTTTTCATCTTCCCCCCCTCACCATCTCCCCCTCACCTACCATCACTGCAGCACGGTATACGATCACAACCTCCCCCCTCAGGTAGGACTCTTGAAGGGTCGTACTCAACGTTCCTCGTGACTCACGGACAGGAGTACATAAGAGAGTGACTGATGTAAACGACGGCGAAGACAACAACACTCGGTATGGCCGGATATCCTATGAAGCATTTACGTTGCTGTTTGGTCTGTGTCTGGGGGGTGGACAGTGTCTCTGGGGTAGGAGGAGGTTACCAGCATTTCGGGAGGTTGACAGTATTATAGGTAGTAGGCAGCTATCAAACAGGGAGGTACTACCGCCTGGGAAGATATTGACAGCATAATGTGTTGTCTGATGGTAGACCCTGCTGCCATATGGCATCACGAAAATTGTGACCAAGTCCCAGGTTGCTGATCTGACTTTCTGCCTCATTTACACACAATTGCAGGGTCTCAATTGTTTCACTTACTATTGACAACACAACATACATATATTGTTTCTCACTACTGATCCTTTTTTTCATTTTTTGTATTTTTTATGGTTTTTTATTATTATTATTATTATTATTATTATTATTATTATTATTATTATTATTATTATTATTATTATTATTATTAAATTTGTGCCCCTCAGGCCCCGATGTGGGTCAGTGACCTGTGCTTGGGTGGGCTATCCGTAAATAATCGGTGGAGGACAGTATCTCTCGAAACAAATTCTCAGAGATGAAGGTTGCCAGTATTTCGGGAGGTTGACATTACTTCGGGGGTGACATTATATTTAAGGGGTAGATTGACAGTATTTCCTCTGGGGATTGATAGTATCTCCGGGGGTGGGGTGTATCTCACGGATGAGTTAGGGTTATGTGTGTGTGTGTGTGTGTGTGTGTGTGTGTGTGTGTGAGAGGAATGAAGACGTTTTTAGTGTGTATTTATGGAGTTAAAAAGTGTACACAGAATAGAGAGAGAGAGAGCGAGCATGGTACTGTACCAACTGTGAACCTCCGGGCAGAACTGGGTGAGGAGGAGCCCCTTGAGGTGTGTTGGCTGGTCCCTTCACCCGGCTGCTTGGAGACCCACCAGGCAGCAGGACGGTCATCACCCCCCGCCCTCACTCACCCTTTGATCATCTCTGCTAACGGGGGCTCGACCTCCACCATACTGAGCCGTCACATGGACTTACTGAGCCGTAATGAGGATTTAACACCGAGCCGTCACAAGGATTTACTGAGTCGTCACAAGGTTTTACTGAGTCGTCATAAGGATTTACTGAGCCGTCACATGGACTTACTGAGCCGTCACATGGACTTACTGAGCCGTCACATGGACTTACTGAGCCGTAATAAGAATTTAACACCGAGCCGTCACAAGGATTTACTGAGTCGTCACAAGGATTTACTGAGCCGTCACATGGATTTACTGAGCCGTCACATGGATTTACTGAGCCGTCACATGGACTTACTGAGCTGTAATAAGAATGTAACACCGAACCGTCACAAGGATTTACTGAGCCGTCACAAGGATTTACTGAGCCGTCACATGGACTTACTGAGCCGTAATAAGAATTTAACACCGAGCCGTCACAAGGATTTACTGAGTCGTCACAAGGATTTACTGAGCCGTCACAAGGGTTTACTGAGCCGTCACATGGACTTACTGAGCCGTAATAAGGATTTAACACCGAGCCGTCACAAGGACTGAACACTGAGCCGTCACAAGAACACGTTCCTACCCTCAAGAGCGTCACCTCAGGCAGAGGGTTGGTCTGGCGTAACTTCCATAAACGTGTAATTGCGAGGTTGAGAGGAACGCCTGGCGATGATGATGTTCACACCTTAAGAGCGAAACTATAGTCATCGAGCGAACGTTCGCCTGGCATAACTTTCATAAGCGTGTCATTGCGGGGTGGATAGAAACGCCAGGCGCTTTTGATTGCTCGTGCTGGCGGTGTTTTGTGATCCGGGGTCTTAGCCAAGTTTGCCGGAGTTGGTGAAGTAAGTTTTGACAAGATCATCAACTTCTGGGCTGGTATTCTCAAAGGATCATAAGATACATTTGACCTTTATCTCCGGGTCTCTAACGTTCATTATACTTTAAGACACCTAGGTGGATTCCCAGAGGCTCCTACGATATATTTTACCCTTGAGATAAAGAAAAGAACTTAATACCATCATGTACTATGCCACGTAAAGATAGAGTCTCAAAGATTCACACATAATATTTTTTTTCCGCAACAGATATATGAGAACGTATCTAATTGGCTCACGTTATCTATGACTTCCTTCTCTCCTCCTCCTCCTATTTCTTCTTCTTTTTGTCTCTTCTCTTCACCTTCTCCTCCGCTTTCACCACTTTCGCCT